TCCATCAATAAACATAAGCATTTGTTGCTATCAATTCCTCGTGTGTTTCATTGGTGTCCGCATTTCGGGTTAGAGCCAATCGAGTTCTGAGCAGTACATTACTGGTTCTCGTATTTCCACATTCAGTACTATTCCGATTACCACCATATCCATCAGTGCTTTTCACTAAAGAAACTGTGGCTCATAAAAGGTTGAATTGAAACATGACATTGGTTGGTGGCAGAATTCGATCATACTGCTTTATGAGTGACTTTAGTCAGTTGATCACCAAGTGTTTCAGTAAATTTTCAACTATATAAGTTTGAACTGTTTTGATATATATGATACGCGGCAATGTTGATAATGATGGTGATGATGATGATGATGATGATGATGATGATGATGATGATGATGATGATGATGGTGACCTGTNTCTGGTCGCATTTGGTGGGTTAATTCTGGTCGTAAATCCTACCAGAGTCACAAAACCACGTTTGTGAGCATCCCCATGGGTGTCTGGTCCAATTTCATGTCTCTGTCTCAGTGGAGTTTCTCCATTTCGTATCCCGGTCCTTAGTGTGCTGGCTGACATGAGAACGGTTAGCATTTCGTTTTAGCTGGCGTATGTTCGTTCACCGAGTTCATTAAATCAATTCGGAATTAGAGACAACCATTTCAATTGGTATTTTCTCTCCAACTTAGATCTCCAATGGGAGCAATTGTTTCTACTATGGCATGGCATTTTCAGATCTGTTATATTTCGACTGGTTGAGAATGGTCATCTCTTTTGCAGAAACTAAATTGGGATAAATAAATACCCAACTGAAGTAACTGAATATTCCGTTCATATCTGATTGCATTAGTTTGGCTAATCACCAATTTGATAAAAAAATGATACTGACTTTGAGGGAGTTGACTGAACGTCTGACACACAAAGACTATTTGGTCCCTCTTGGATTGATCATGGAGATTTCCCGTTTAGTTGTCATTCTCACACTCATTCAGCGATTTCTTTCCCTGTCCAGTGGGACAATTCACACGCAAAACTTCAGGTGTGTAACATCTCTTGCTTCCGCTCATCCGTATTGCGTGCACCGATCATTCATGTTTACAGATCCGGAGTGAAAAAGGAACAGTTGAGCGCACATGCTTACGAACTGGTACACGTCAATTATGAATAAAGAATGATCAATCAATGCCGAGGCAGTATAGAAAGATGGCTTTTTGGGGATGAATCCGACGGATAAATGGTGTAATAGACTGCCAAATTGAAGTTACACTTTCTGAAATAACTTTAAATGACTGAGCTAATTTTATTTTTGGTTATATCACACATGTATTGGAGTCCCGGCTATATATCAAACAGATCACAGTATAACAATCTTTATAGCAAAGTAGACGGTCAATGATTTGGTCGTAGATGAGATAATTCCAGGGTGCCCAGTTGAATGCCTGGGAAATTCTCTCGATGAATTTACCAATGGGGCGTTTGGTCAACCAAAATCGGATACATAAATCAGTGGAGTCTTGTTTAAAAACCCTTAATCCGTTCGGGGCTGATATCCAGCTGATCTGTTCAAATGCCATTTGAACGGGGTTAATTGTACAAAGCACTCAATATCCCCCACCCACCCCTATGCCCAACCCAGCCGGTTATTACTTCCACATCCATGGTTAGTTTGTATCCGTCTTATTGTTCGATTTCTAATCAGGTGAATTAACAGTGGTTCACCGACCCGATTACAGCCCTATGAGTTCACTTTACGTCCTATCACTTTAATGGAAGAAAACTCCACTATATGAGAACAGTGATTAAGGCTTCTTTCACAGAGATTATTTGAGATATTGGAGCATCATCATATTGGAACATTTCATCGAGTGCAAGAGACGGAACATCACCCTCCCAACCCGGATCATGCTGAGAATTTCGAAAGCCTGCCTGGACTCAAACATATGTTGCTCCAAAACGGACAATAATAATATAATATAATAAATATAACCCGCAGAATAACACATTTCGACACAACACTCGACTGACCAAACTTATTGGCAATTGGGACACAGGAATTCTGAAAAAAAAAACAGTTTAATTGGTGAAAATAAATCAGCAGTCTTATAAACACAGCTAATAGCCACCGGATTATTTAATTTTCTAACGAATCAGACTATTTCAATGTCTGCTGTATCCACTTTCAGATGGCTGCATGGGCTACTGTGAGGCCGATACTAAAAGAACCAATGTGAACGAAACCTTTTTCCCCATTTTATTGATCACGTGTTTTCCAAATTGCGAATCACACATCTTAGCTCGCTTTTCATTTTTCATTTTTTCGTGTGTGGCTGATTCTCCGTTAGAAACCACGTGTCGAGGTTCTCTTTATGTAATTCCGTTTGTCGGGACTCTATCAATTGTGTCACGCACAGACCATGATTGGATTGAATGACTTCGTTGCCATTCAACTTCCCTCTCTCACTAGCACACGCATTTGTTAACTCCACTTGGGTAAGTGACGGGACGAGACCAAACCAATTCAACATTTGGGATAAATCATGTCAACATTGTGGGTGTAATGTGCTTACATATGCATTCATGCATGCAGAAACCTGTTGACAGGTGTGCTGGTTTTAGGATAGGAGGCAGTGGAGCATTTCTCAATTTGTTTGTGTTAACACTGTTTAGTTCAGCCTTTTGGATAAATCATGACACAAGTTACCTAGAACAGTGCGGATGGTCTAGTGCATGATGTGTTTCACTGGTCGATACCTTTTTCAGTTTAAGATGTCCGAATATCAATTTATGATTTCACAATATAAATTTAAGATGTCCGAGTATCATTTGAAGATGTCATATTGCTATGTGGATAGTACCTTGCACAGTGCAGAGTGAAAACGTTCGATGGGACCCCTGTTTACTCAGATTCATGTGCGTCCTACCTGCATACTGATCTATGGCCCCCGAAAATATTGTCCTACGCTCAACAAAAATGTGCACCGACGATGATCTTGTCTCCTTGTTTGCACACACACACACACACGGATTGGACAGTACAAACCACAATTCAGTCAGAGCTATGTCACCATGTGCAAACTGACAAAGGCTTGGTTGAATG